ATTGACTCTCAATGTGAATGCCACTGATGCGGCTTCCCGTCCGCCGGTATTTCAAATTTCAAAGGTGATCTTCCTTGTGGCAAGCAGTTTATTGTCTTGTGTGTACTTCACTTCATTTTGCTATTCCTTTGGTTTTTTAAGGTGGTTTCTCCTTGTTCCACCCTTATTTTTCTTTTTTTGTACATTGCCTTCGTTGTTGCCAAAATCTAATGTACCGTATAATGCCGCTATTTGTCATTGGTTAAAGTGGGAAGAGGTAACTGGATCGAAAATTGGCACTGACTTCTGCGTATTGCTCATATTTGCGTTAAAATAGGAAATTGCGATTCATGAGAAAAATATTTTTGTCAGATTCGCAATGACAAATTGCCAGGGTTGAATCAGTTTTGTCGGAGACTAACATACATTTGCCATGACGAAAAAATATAAACATTTATTTCTATTCATGACGCTGTGATTCGACAATTCGGTGTGGTTTCAGCACGTCTTCATGTAGTTTCCAATCGCTGTTACTATTACTGGGTTCTTGAATTTGACACTGTATCAGGCGGAAATGTGGTTAAGTGCCTCAACAAAGCTTCTTTCAAAACACTACTTTTCTTTATTTGGTTGGTGACGATAGATGATCTTTTGTCTCCTGCTATCTATGTTCGTGACGGTCTGGCAGTTTGACCAACGTAGGACATGTGGCATTCTGTGAGATTGAACAGTCTTCTTATACCACCAGTCCGATGAAAATTGACTCCGCCTACATAAACAGTATGTATTCGTTCCAACAAAGTAATGTCGCTATGGCACGGAGGCCGCCGTCGGCGAAAGACTATTCAGGCTGGCATTCGTTCCATCGTATTTGAGTCCCGACAGTGAATTGGATGCTGGATTACATTTTTGAGTTGGGCTGATTGCCACTGCAGTCATTGAGTTAGTTTACTAGTGAGCCGTGACAAAATTTATTGCTATTACGGAATTAATCTGCACAACGAGCGGTCTATACTCGCAACATGCCATGTGGTTTCTTCCTTTTCTAGAATTTTTTCTAGAGGTATACTGAGTAATCATATTTTGCTTTGGCATTGGTTTTTAAGCTTGGCTCTCTGCCTGACGCAAACCTGCCTTTTCCATCTGGGCTGAGAGCCGGCTAGGGCTCGTTTGGGTTAGCTGCATACTTATTTGATGGCAGCATATACTCGACATGTCGCAACGCTGTAATCGGGTCATCTATTATTTTCTAGAGCCAAACTCGCCGCAACCTCATAGCACTGTGTTTTTGTCCGAACTGCAGTATTCTTCAGGTTTTCGGCTTATTTCGCAGCTAACCCTCACATCTTAAAGCTTCCTATTATTTGCATTCTGTGGGCGCTTTCAGTGGCGTCTGATTTTGCCTTGATACTACTCTCGAATCGAATCGAACCTAACAATTTACCATATAGCTAAAAAAGAATAAATCATCGATAGGTGATCACAATGTAAGAAAAATGTTATGATCTTCGTCTCTAGCCTGACGAAAAAAACTTGAATGATATCGGAACAACGTCAAAGTGCTAGTCGTTACAAAGACTAGCCCCCTGGCGATGAATAGATGGTCATTTTGGAGGACAGGCCGCAGTAGATTGTGCCATTAACTTCTATGACCCCGCAAATGTATAAACTGGGGGCTAAAAATACGCTGGCTGCTTGCTATCAGGTGCCAACGCTTTGTGGCATCCTGAAGTCTCAGGTATAATAGGTGGTTCTAACGCGAAAATGAGCGCCGAATGCAACTCAAGACCATGCGTGTTCCATCGTCATACTACTGACAGCGCGAACAAAATCTATAACCGTCTGTTAAACGTTTGCGCCACAGAAAGCTTGATTGTCGACTAGACCCCTTTTCCTCATCAACGGATTTACGAAACCATGTGGACGTCTTCTCATGAAAGTCGAAGCACCAAATTGGACGGAATTGGACCACTTCCTCATCAGCTTCAAACAGCGAAGCTTGTTATTATGGTCATGACGTAACTTCGTCGAAAATCAGCGGTGTCGCGTCGACGTCGTCTGATTGAAAGTGATCAGCTTCTCGATATTTTCTGGTTAAAACATTAGGAAACGACGTGATCACGAGTGTCACGCTCAGTGCCCAGTTAGGAAAGGGCAACGTCGATGAAGCTCACAAGAACTATAAAGAAGGTGTCACTGTCTTTGGAGAAAAAAGTAGAGGAGATCAGGAGGATGGTAATGAAACTGCTTTGAGTTCTTACATTTCAAATTTCTTTACAGTTCAAAGAATCATGCAAAGAAAGAGTACTTGAAACCATATGTTACGTCATCGAAGAAGCTCATTGCCTCTCTTGTCCTGTCATCCAACAGGAACGACAGATTTGAAGACAGAATCTGACTGGATGAGGCATCAAGAGTCTCGATGAGGCAGCCAGAAGTTACGACCGGCAAATGATGTTTACGGAAGTGTGACAGCTGTCCGGTATACGGGAAACTCTCTTCGTCGTTGCCCAAGTCGCTAAATGTATATCACTGGAATATCATAGGGAACACCTCTAAAGGGGCACTCATTATTTTCAGCACATGCTCAATAATTACCAGCCAGAATCGTCATTTCAGGCTGTTGATAATCTGTCAACAGTACAGGTTGACCGCCTGTATAGAACCGTCTAAAAGCTGTAAATCGAAAACGAAGCTCACCTTAAGCGGTAGAGGGCCTGCTGGATGCATGTAGTTCTTCTGAGGGTAAATAAATATAGGAGAAGAGGTATTGCTTATAAGCTCCATACCAAATGTCATCAAACTTGTGCCTGAGAAAGTTTTCCTGGAGAGCTGAAGCGTGCAGTATAATTGTCACTGTATTAAATGGTGGCCGGGTAACCGATTGATCCAATTTTCGTGGCATCACATTACGGTTAAACTCCATTATACTTTGCTCCTAGTTTTTTCTGGAAAGTCTGAGTCAGAAAGTTGGCAGATTTTGTTGGTCCGACATTTACTCTCATACGCTGCATGTAACGGTTTTCAATCCGGTAGAGCAATAAAATGTAGTTACTTGGTTTTGTTTCTCTTGAGCAGAAGATGAACGTTCATTCCTTATAATGAATCTGTTGAGAAAATATCTTGTTCTATATGATACCTGACTGTCTTCAAGTACGTCCTGCCAATGAACCCGCTAAATTAAAATTGTTTTCCACTTGTAGTAAAAATATTGAAGGTGAGCAAACTTAAATTATTTCGTTTGCGTTAGGTAGGAAAATATGACATATTCCACATTTTATTTAATACCTGTAATATAATTTCTAATCCAGCCGCAAGCTTGGATGAAAAAAGAGAATGGTTTCCACCTTGCGAGGTCTCCAATAAAATTGAGTCACCTGACCACTGAGGTATTACCCTTATCAAACGTCATGCAGGCTCGGTCGTGGCTATAGTTACCAATGGCCACGCGGTCTGTTAGAAGACTGTAGACTACGAAAAACCGGTGATCAGAAACCGTTTCGTGTCTTCTGAAAGCTAATTGCTTAACATCACGGCGACCGATGCTGAAGATCAAGAACATGAAGATGAAGATACTAGTCAGCAACGATGTCGCAGCTCGGAACAGAGTAGGCACACTGCGCAATGTAATCATAGGAGCTTCCAAGGGAACGTTATCGACGGCTAGTCAGAACTTTTCGTCTGTCAGAGGAAAGAGCAGGAAGTAGTTGATGAGGTCATACGGTGCTGACTAGACAGAGCTGATCTCTCATCGACGAATTGTCAAGGGTTTGAAATTTTGATCATATGTGCGAGAAGGCTGGTCTTCCAAGGGTTCGACTCTATGACACGCGTTTAGGACGGTTTTGTTGCTCTTGTTGAACCCAACTCGGCTGACAGAATGATTGACTATGAGCAGAATAGTGACGATCATCCGACTGAAGTTGCAACGGGTGAAAGTTTTTATCATGTTACAAGCATGCGTCCAATTCAAAGGGAGAATACGACTTCATCCTGGAGGAAGTAGACAGTGTTCTTTACGAAGTGCCGACTACGGAATCGATCATTCCCATGGGCGCTTTCAATGCGTATGTCAATTGAGACACTGAAAAGTTGAAAGGCATGACTGGAGAGAATAACGGTAGATCCCTTAACAATAGCGGCATGAAACTGTTGCAGTTTTGTGATAACAACGGAATCTCTCGTATGAATACTTTCCTCGAACCGCGAAACGTGCATCAATTGATCTGGCATAAGGAAGCCTGAGCACAAAATCGTCGATAGATGTGATATTTCAATCGTTTGAATTAAAACGTTTTTTAGCTGATGTTCGCGATAAGACAGACGCAGAACTGTTAAGCGATCATCACTTTGCTGTTGGAACCCACCGCTATAAACGATGGAATACCCTACCATGTGAAGACTTTGCAGCAGAAGCAACCAGAAAATCAAATGGGAAACATTATCTTCTGCGGATAGGATGGCAAAACTTGCAAACAACATTATACGACTGTTTCAACAGGTCCCGGTGATGATCGCCTGTGGAAAC